GTTAATCTGGTGGTATTGTGGTATTGTTAATCTGGTGGTATTGTGGTATTGTTAATCGGGTGGTATTGTGGTATTGTTAATCTGGTGATATTGTGGTATTGTTAATCTGGTGGTATTGTGGAATTGTTAATCTGGTGGTATTGTGGTATTGTTAATCTGGTGGTATTGTGGTATTGCTAATCTGGTGTTATTGTGAAATTGTTAATCTGGTGGTATTGTTAATCTGGTGTTATTGTGGTATTGATAATCTGGTGGTATTGTGGAATTGTTAATCTGGTGGTATTGAGGAATTGTTAATCTGTTGGTATTGTGGTATTGCTGGTGGTATTGTTAATGTGGTGGTATTGTGGTATTGATAATCTGGTGGTATTGTGGAATTGTTAATCTGGTGGTATTGAGGAATTGTTAATCTGTTGGTATTGTGGTATTGCTAATCTGATGGTATTGTGGTATTGTTAATCTGGTGGTATTGTGGTATTGTTAATCTAGTGGTATTGTGGTATATTGTTTAGTATGTTAAAGATATTACTAAAGAACACGATGGACAATATATAGAAGATTAAGCTTGATTGTCTGCTTCGTTGGTTTCTGGCAGAATTATCTAGAAGATATTCTAGGTTTAAGTTAAAGGAACTAGAGTTATCCTCAATTTATAGATTGGCATGTAAGATTAACAACGGTACCCTTTAAACATTTGCCTGATCACTGATCAGTGATCTTGAATGAGTGAGATATTCCTAGTTTATCTTTCCAAAAATTAGGCTGTATAGATAATGAAGGAGCTTTGTCGGAATTTAACATTTTTCAAGATAGATAAGGAGGATATCTTGCTTATTGTACTTCAGATAAAGTTTGAAAAATACCTTGGTGAATCGACATGCCACTATATTAATGTTAGATAAGTTGAATTCCTTATTCTAAAGAATTGGCTATAATTTTAATTTAATAAGAATTAACACTCTTTTAAGCAGAAAAGTGAATTTTAAATAGATAGTGAATATTGAATAGAAAATGAATATTGAATAGAAAATGAATATTGAATAGAAAATGAATATTGAATAAAAAATGAATATTGAATAGAAAATGAATATTGAATAAAAAATGAATATTGAATAAAAAGTGAATATTGAATAAAAAGTGAATATTGAATAGAAAGTGAATATTGAATAAAAAGTGAATATTGAATATAAAGATTTGTCCTATTGAAATATTGAGATTTGTCAGATTGATAAATTTTTCGTGGATTCTAGAACGATTCTGCTGACAAATTAATCTAGAAGATGAAACGATAAANGAATAGAAAGTGAATATTGAATATAAAGCGAATATTGCATAAAAAGTGAATATTGAATAGAAAGTGAATAGTAAATAGAAAGTGAATATTGAATAAAAAGTTAATATTGAATAGAAAGCGAATATTAAATTGTAAGTAGATATTGAATAGATAGTGAATATTGAATAGAAAGTGAATATTAAATAGAAAATGAATATTGAATGAAAAATGAATATTGAATAGAAAGTGAATATTGAATATAAAGCAAATATTGCATAAAAAGTGAATATTGAATAGAAAGTGAATATTAAATAGAAAGTGAATATTGAATAAAAAGTGAATATTGAATAGAAAGTGAATATTGAATATAAAGCGAATATTGCATAAAAAGTAAATATTAAATAGAAAGTGAATATTAAATAAAAAGTGAATATTGAATAAAAAGTTAATATTAAATAGAAAGCGAATATTAAATTGTAAGTAGATATTGAATAGATAGTGAATATTGAATAAAAAGTGAATAAATAGAAAGTGAATATTGAATATAAAGCGAATATTGAATAAAAAGTGAATTTTGAATAGAAAGTGAATATTAAATAGAAAGTGAATATTGAATAAAAAGTGAATATTGAATAGAAAGTGAATATTGAATATAAAGCGAATTTTGCATAAAAAGTGAATATTGAATAGAAAGTGAATATTGAATAAAAAGTGAATATTGAATAGAAAGTGAATATTAAATTAAATAGTAAGTAAATATTGAATAGAAATTTGATATTGAATAGAAAGTGAATATTGAATAGAAAGTGAATATTGAATAAAAAATTAATATTGAATAGAAAGTGAATATTGAATGGAGAGTAAATATTAGAAATTGAATGTTAAATAGAAAGTAAATACTAGAAAGTGAATGTTGAATAGAAAGTAAATATATAAATATATAAAGTGAATGTAAAATAGAAAGTAAATATTAGAAAGTGAATGAAATTGTCCCCATAGCAGTAATGTTCGTTGTAAATTTCTCATGCACGTTTTTATTTCAAGTTCTGGGCGTTAATCTTTGTATTCTGTAGCCTGCCTACTACACCCAACATCCCCCCATCTTTTCCCTTCCCATTATTTTCCATCTTCCATTTCCCGATCCCTTTCCCCTCCCTCATTCATTATTATCCACCTTCCATTTTCCAATACCTGTTCTACTTCTTAAATTTCACCCTTCTTCCCGCTTTCCCCTTTTCCCTCCTTAAACCTACCCCATCACTGCCCCCTATCCTCAAAACCCAACCCATCTATAAAGAAAGTTTGCAATAATGAAGTGAATAATTCGCATGCTGAAGACCCTTGCAAACTACATTTTAGCACTACAGGTTAGTGACTCCGGTTAATATTCTGCTGTATAAAAACTGTATGGTGTATGGTTGTTAACCCAGTGTATTAAGTGCTAGTACTTCTACTACTTGGATATCTACTTCTTAATCTTAATGAATCAGTTTATAAGGTAAGACCGTACAAAACCTTAGCAGTCAGCTAAAATTAACATAATCATATTTTATTTCACATGTTTTGTTTGGACTAAATGCGTCCTAACCCGTTCCATTTTTCAATTGCCAAAAATAAGGACGCAATTAAAGGAATTAAAATTTACATTCCGTCCTTGTCCTCTGACACAGATTTAGAAATATCAGGACTGTAAACATAATTTCAAATGACCCTCCATGTAAAAATGGAAATGCCTGGTTCACAACTTTTATCTGAAAAATAATTTTGAAGATGTTGTCGTTTTTCTAGGTTTAAAAGTTATCAACTCAACATTAATATCTAATTCCTACTGGATCGCGACAACGTTTTTAACCCTATTCCTGCTGGGGCAATATATGAACAAACTGAA